GAGAGAGAGAGAGAGAGAGACTCCTGTGGCTGCCTGGCCTTCCTTTGGAAGACTCAGACAAAGGTGGATGTATCACCTGGCGTGTCTGCATAAGCCCACTTCTAGCTGTGGGTGCGTGGATGGTGTCACGCTTACCTTTCGCACATCATAATTTGTTCCCAAGTTATACAGTCAGCCGTGCGCCACACCTTCTCGTAACTGACGATGCTCACCCAAGATTGCCCAAAGCAATTTCCTGCGTGTTTGAGAGGATGGAGGAAGGCCCAGCGCGACGGGATTAGCACCTTCCTCCTCCCCGAAGACCCCGCTCGCCCTATATGGGGGTCAGTGATTAAAGCAGAGGCCAATGCCCCGATCCCAGAGCGGATGGGGGTGGGGGAGGGAGGGAAGAGACAGGATTTCACTCTGCATAATCCTCACTGCTCCGCTATTCCCCCCTCCCCCAGAAAAGAAAGAAAAGAAAGAGGGCACTGAAACCTTCTGGGAGCGCCTGACGCGGAAAGGGCCGCATCACCCACCGCCTTCTCCTCCCCGCGGGGCCCCCCTGCCGCCAGTCTAACCCCAGCACGGCCCCAAAGCGAGCATGGTTAAACATTAAAAAGGGCAAGCCAGGGGTTTAGAAACGGTATCCTGAAGAGCTGAAAGGAAGAAATGAATGAATAATTAATCCATGAAATGTGTAAGCAAAACACCGAGAGTTTAAAAGGGGCGTCAGGCTTTGCTCTCAAGCGCCCGCGGGAGCCTTCAGCGCAGCGTTTCCTGCTCTCTCGAGACCGGCTCGGAGAAGACATTTTCACCGACAACATCCTCTTCGGGTGAAAATCAGGAGGAGCCTGACGGGGCCTTTTCCAACAAGCAGAGTGAATGAAAAGGCGCCAGCTTTCATGAGCTGCAGCTTCCGCCTATGAATAAAAGGTGTCGGTCGGAAAGGTGTGAGCAGGCGCCGCCTGAGTTGGGCTGCCATAGACTGACGCGGCTCTCCAGCTGCAAGGCCCTGCGGCAGAGAGGAAACCCTGATCGAAACCCTGTAATCGCTTTATCCACCCCTGAAGGGGAGGGAGCCCCTGGAGCCCCAACGCCCCGACTTGGCCCCAACTGGGGCCGAAGGGGGCCCCTGCCAATTACCCCTTCTGTGATTTCAACCAAAGATAGAATAACCGGCAGCAGCTCTTTGGCCCCGCAAGAGACCTTGCTGACTTTTTCCCAGGAAACGCGGAGCTAGAGAAAAAAGCAAAGAGAAAGAGGTGGCCCGGGCTGTACAATGTTATACACGGAGCTCTGCCGCCTGGCAGGCCAAGCGTTTCCCCGCGGGGCTCCTGCAGGCCGGACTCCCTGCTCGCGACGGCTCGCCTCGCATCCGCGGCCGAAGAGTTTCCACCTTGCCTTGGGGAGGCGGGGCGGTCTCTCCCGGCAGGTCCCATTTAGAAGATGCTTTTGTCTGCCTCTGCCTGCTTCTTGGGTTTTATTAGACTTTTTCAAACAACAGCTGAGAAAGAGAAGCTCTTTAAAAGAAAGAGACAACTTTTTAAACCTTGTGTTGATTTTTAAATGTTGCAAGGCA